GTATGGTTTCTTCTTCCCTTCCCTAGTCACTAGATTATGCCGCGCAGCACGTTGAGCGTGGATGGAAAAGTGAAGAGAGAAGCAAAGTTTCGGGCGGATAAAGTGACGATTGGGAAGGACCCTGTGGCACCTGCAGGTGCTAATAGTGATGATTCTGATACACCTGAGGAGGGAGATGATGAGCAGGATGAAGCGGGGGCTGAGTCGCCCACCCATGAGCAAGTTAAAGAAACCGAAGGATCGTGTGGGGTCGGTCGGATTACACGGCTGGCAGCCTTAGAGCAGGAAATGGCAGGGCTACGTACTACTGTCACAGACTTGGGGACTAGAGTTGATGCCTTGGCCACCCAAAATGCTAAACCAGAGAAGAAAATCATGGGCTGGCTGCGTGTGTTGGGGAGGGCGTGTCACTTAGACCCCGACACTGTCTCTGATCAAGACTGATCTTCTAGGGAAGTTCCTTTGCCTCGCATTACTTTCTATTTTATGACATGAGGACATGACATCTTTTTAAGTGTGGGGTAGGGGATACTTCGTTTGTATGTTGTATATATATAGGAACGTAGCTTGATTTTGGTTTTTGGTTAGATGTTTGAATGTGTGAAAATTTCAAATTTTCGACTTGTCCCGATGATGGATATCACTCGACGGGTTTCTTGAGGGTCTAAGTGGATATATATTAAAAAAAAATATTTTTCCTTTGTAGGTAGTGTATCAATTATCCCTTGGTTTTTCTATGGACCACAGTTCTTTTTCAAGGGTTTTTGTTTGAACCGGGTTAGTTAGTTTTTAATTTTTAGTTAGGTACTTGTAGGCTATGGGCTGATATGGAAGTAGGATCTCTTAATGTAATTATGCCTTGAATATAGTAGATACTTTAGTGTGATGCTTTGGCTCAGTTGTTGATTCTTATTAGAGTGCCTTAAATTGTATGTTCTTAACTTGGCTTAAGTACTCTAACTAGAGTGTTTCGATGATCCAATCTGGAGTGAGTCGTGTGCCATGTGTGTGTGAGGATTGTTGTATTCTGTGCACTACATTGGATGCGTAGAACTTGCCCCGTGTATTTGCAAAGCGAAATAGTAGTTTTGTTGAGTCTTGGAAGTGATATAGGCGTTTCTTTGTTGAGCCAGATATGTATATTTTACCTGCCTAATTGTTATGTATCATAGTTAACCCCTTTGAGCCTGTAATCCTTTTTCTTTGGCAACCACATTACAAGCCTTACCCATGTGTTTGAATTGACCATCTATTTGAACCTTTTAACCTCTCATGAGCACTTGAATTGTTATGAACATTGTAAAAGTTAAAGTGTGGGGTGGTTGGGTTGGCTTTTGAGTGGAACTAATGAGATAAGGAGAAAGTTGCATTATTTTGAAAAAGTAAGAGCCACTTGAATTGAAAAAAAAAGAGAAAAAGAAGAAAAAAAATATAGATAAGGGGTGGTTCTTGATGTAATTGGGCTTAAAGAAGTATGGGGTAATACAAATGGATGAAAAGGTGGAGTTTGGTTTGACATAAGTAGGGTCTTAAATGTTAAAATGTATGTATTAAAGTGCTCAGGGAGGTGTAGTCACTCTTATATCTAAATGTATCCTACCCGTCCCGCAGCCTACATTACAACCAAATGAAGTCCTACTTGATCCTAGACTGAATGAGCTCGATTAGTGGAGTATTACACTACGGGCAAGCCTATGGTGCATTTTTAGTGGCATATGAATGTTCCTTCTGAGAGTGAGTGAATCATTTCTATCTTGAGTTCCTAAGTATTATTATCTCGTATTGTCTGTGGAACTACTCTCGGTTGTTATGAGAGGGTACTTGATTCGTGAAAGAAAGGTGAGTCTTAACCTCTGTGTTACAGTAAGTGTATAAGTTAGGAGTAGTGCGTGTCATGTGAGAGTCAACTCTTGAGGCGGAGATATTACACTACTGGGCTCAATCCTTATGGTATGTTGTTGGTGTGATGAGTTAGCGAAGTTGCTTAGTGAAGTAGCCCTCTGTAGAGTATGGTTTGATCGCTCAGGGACGAGCAATGGTTTAAGTGTGGGGTGTTGATAGTAGGCTATAAGTATGTGGTTTGGCTATCATTTATGCTCCAACTTAGCTGTACTTTATTGTTATATGAATGTTAAATGACAACAAAATGGCTCTAATTATGAACTTTGTTCTTTGCAGGAGCAATTCCTGACTATGAGGACATTAATGAGTGTTTGGAGTTAATTTGGAGCAAGGAATGCCAATCGGAGGTGAGTGCTCGCATAATTAGAAAAAAAAATGGAAGACAGAGTGAACTCCAGGAGCGCGGGTGAACCGCAGCTGCACTCAGGCCGTGCTCGCCAGGCAGAAAGGAAGATTATGCGCGGTCCAACCACGGTCCAACCACGACCGCTCATCCCTCCGAGGAATTTTATTTCAGGGTTAAATTCGTAAGTTCAGGGGCGACTTTCCTTGACCTATAAGAAGCGCAGGTCGCCCAAAAAGAAGGTATTGAGGTTTTTGAAGGCAAGAACAGGCAAGAAGCAAGGCGGAAGATTTGGCATAGAGTTTTTACCTTTCTTCTTGCTTTTATCATTGATGATGAATTCTATTTTTATAATTGTGAAAACGATTATGCATAGCTAAACTCCTAATCTAGGGTTTTGATGGAACCTCTTGGAGGATAAAGTTCTTGTTATGTTAATATAGATTTGCCATAGTATTTTCTCTGTTTGTTCAACTATATTGTGATTGCTGTTGATTGAAGGGCCCTCAATCGATTGTGCCTATTCAGTATGTATTACTCGGGAGAGAGTGCATATTAAGGTAGGTGCTGAACAACACCACTCCTAACGTATATGAGGGATCAATACGAAGGGTTTAAAGGTGGGATTAGGGATAACAAGACCTTGGGTGCGATCTAAGTGAGCTGTAATTAAGGCCAAGCGTAATTCGGGAGAGTATGTCTAGTATATTATTGTAATTACTATGGAGAGAGTTACGACAGTCAGAGTGCTCATGATCGATAGAGAAGACTTAGGCAAATTTATAGCAAATGTAGCGGAAAGGATTCCGACAAGAGGGGAAATCAGAACCTTAGACCAGTCCCATTCTTGCTTACAAACCTTTTATAGATAGTTCTTATTACTGCATTTTTATTACGTAATATTTAGTTAATAAACATCCAGTTTGTTACTCAAATATCTCAAAAGATTGAATACGTGAATTCCTGTGAGTCCAATAGCTATGATTGATAGGTTAATTCCCTGTGGGATTCGACTCCGAACTTGTTAACCGGAATATATTTGCAGCGATCGCTTTGTTCTTTTCATAAGGCATAGTTCGGCGTGATCAAATTTTGGTGCCGTTGCCGGGGAATTAACGGTGTTATTAATTGCAGTTAAAAATAAGTGCAAAAATTCTTAGTTTAGTCAATTTCCTTCAATTTAAACTGACCATTGAAATTCTAACGTTTGTAGTCGTGGTTGTTACAGGTTCATGCCTAGAAACTCCTCAAGAACTGGTGAATTGTTGGAAGCATTATCAGATCCTGAGAAAGTGTTCAAGGCATTGAATCGTGCTAACAGGAAAGGCAAACGACAACATAACTCAACCGAACAAATTGAACCAGACATGGAAGACGATAATCTAAACAACAAAGACAACGTAAATGACCCAAGATCAGGGTGTGGTACCTCTTGTGCTAGAAGCAACACTATATGATTGGGCACAACCCACCGCTGACAACATAGCAACTACCATTGTAGTCTCTCAGATAGAAGCAGATTCATTCCTGATCACAAATAACATGCTACATTTGTTGCAGAACAAGGGACTGTTCTCTGGGTCATACGTTGAAGATTCTCAGCAGCATCTAAAGAATTTCCTGTCTATCTGTGCCACGCCGAGGCAACACAACGTGATACCGGAAGCAATACGTCTGTTGTTGTTTCCATTATCAATGACAGGAGCAGTTCAGACTTGGCTTAATTCACTCCCCACAAATTCCATCACTACTTGGGAGGAATAAGTCAAGCAATTTGTGAACAAATTTCACCCACCTAACAAAACTGCTCAGCAAATTGATGAGATATTGAGCTTCAGACAGAAATCGACAGAGACGTTACAAGAAACATGGGAGAGATTCAAGAGTTTGCTGGTTACTTGTCCACATCATGGTATTCCGGAGCAGATGTTGGGGAAGATATTTTACATGGGTTTGGTAGATAGCTTGAAATCCAATGTCGATGCTTCAGCAGGTGGAGCATTTTTGAGCAAAACGTTCAGAGAAAGCAAGATCCTACTTGACAAGATGGCACAAAACTCAGGATGGACGACAAAAAACGCTCCAATCACTCCTGCGGTTCACTCAGCGGCTTTAGACCCGACTAACTCCATAGCTGAAAATATGGCCACTCTACTGACACAAATGAGCATCCTTACCAAAACGGTTGATGAATCAGGCCAGAAGCAGCAGGTACACATAGTTGATGCAACTAATGGGGGGTTTATGTACATCATGCATTAATCAACCATATGTTTGCTCATGGAGTGCTGAAGGACATAACCAACAATATCAGGAGAACATGAATTATGTGGCCAACTACGGGGGACCGAGTCCAGGTGGTCAGAATTGGGGTCAGCAGAATCAACAATATAGACCAGCTCAGCAGCAGTACAACAACAACAATAACCATGGGGCTATGCGACCACAAAGTCAAATGGTGCCTTACCAAAGGCAACAAGGGTACAACTAGAAAAATCAGCAGCAGGCTTATCAACAACCTCTACAACAACAGACTGTGAGACATGATGATGGGTTTGGTAAACTAGAGGGAATGATGCAACAAGTGATTGGGTCCACTGGAAAACTAACTGACAGAGTAGACTCAGATGAGTCAGCGATAAAGAATATTGAGATCCAATTAGGACATATTTCAATGGCCCTAAATAATCGTCCTCATAGGACGTTACCTGCAGACACCCAAATCAATCCAAAAGAGGAGGGCTTGAAGTAGCTGATGGCAGTGAGTCTCCGAAATGGTAGAGACTTAGATTTGGAGCAAGAAATTGCTCGTGAAAGCAGACCGAAAGAGACACTGGTGCCATTACACGTTGAGCTAGACAATTCAGCAGGGTTAACTGAGGTGACGGTACATCATGCGCAAGAGAACACCAACAAAGAAAAAGAGGTTGTGAAAGAGACGAAGGTTGCACCAGAGCCGACAGTAGAAGCAGTGCCTGAACAAGAGAAAAATCAAATCAAAGGGAAGAAGCGACCACCAGCATCATTCCCACAGAGATTGGACAAGTATCAAAAAGATGAGCAGTACAAGAAATTCTGGGAGATGTTGAAGCAAATTCTGGTAAACATTCCACTGATTGATGCTTTAAAGGAGATGCCTGGTTATGCGAAGATGATGAAGGACTTGATGCCCCGCAAGATCGACTTTCAAGACTTGGCCACGGTTACACTGACTCAGACCTGCAGTGCTATTGTAATGAGACCCATAGCTGAGAAGCTGTCTGACCCTATGAGTTTCACAATCCCTTGCACAATAGGCAATTTAGCATTTGCTAAGGCAATGTGTGATATGGGAGAACCCATAAAACTTATGCTCCTGGCTATCTACAAAATGCTAGGCATTGGAATAGCTAGACCCACGTCTATGTTACTACAGCTGGCTAATCGAACAGTGAAGAGGCCCTCTGGGATTCTAGATAATGTATTGGTACAGGTTGGGAAGTTTGTGTTCCCAGCAGATTTTGTCATCCTTGACTGTCCGGTTGATGAGGAAATCCCCATAAATTTGGGAAGACCATTCTTGGCCACTTGGAGAGCCTTAATTGATTGTGAAACTAGAGAGCTCAAGATGAGATTAAACGATGAAGAGATAACATTCAACGTGCAGAAATCTATGCGGAGATCAAGTGAATTTGCTAATTGCTCTCTAATAGATGCGGTGGATGTGGTCTTGGAGGAGGAAGATGAGGCATTGTTCATTAAAGACCCTCTAGCAGCTTGTCTCATAAACTTAGATGAAGCTAATGGTGAAGACTTGGCAGAGTAGGTACTGGCTCTTGAAGGCCAAGGTTTTTGGAGAAGGGAGCTTGAATTTGAGCCCTTACACTTAGAGGAAAGAAAAACTCCTCCAGCTAAGCCATCGATAGAAGAGCTACCAAGATGGAACTGAAGCCACTGCCATCCCATCTCTGGTATGCATTCTTGGGACCTGACTCAATTTTACCTGTTATTATCTCAGCTAGTTTGATAGATGTGCAGGCAGAACAACTTTTGCAGGTACTGACTGAGTGCAAGATTGCAATTGGGTGGACCATTGCAGACATTAAGGGGATCAACCCGGCCTTCTGTATGCATAAGATTCTACTGGAAGATGGGCACAAACCTTCTAGAGAACATCAAAGAAGGCTGAACCCCAACACGAAAGAAGTGGTGAAAAAGGAAGTGATTAAGTGGTTAGATGCGGGAATTATATTCCCCATCTTTGACAGCAACTGGGTTAGCCCAGTGCAATGTGTACCAAAAAAAGGAGGTATGACGGTAGTGAAAAATGAGAAGAACGAGTTGATCTCTACACGAACAGTCACATGTTGGCGAATCTGTATGAATTACAGGAAGTTGAACTTGGCTACCAGGAAGGACCATTTCCCACTGCCATTCATTGATCAGATTCTAGATAGATTGGCAGGGAGGTCTCACTTTTGATTTCTAGATGGGTACTTGAGGTACAATCAGATTTCTATTGCCCCGGAGGATAGAGAGAAAACATCGTTCACCTGCCCTTGGGGAATCTATGCTTTTCGGCGAATGCCGTTTGGCCTATGCAATGCAGTGATCGGTGCCAACCCTGCACCTCTATGGAGTGGCAAGAGCTGTCGATGTAGCTTTTACCCGAAAAGGTCGGGATCGAATCCACAGAGAGCTAGAATTGGGAATTGGATTCCTATCTAAACTAGCAATGCGTAATGTTCTTAATTACGCTTCCAATCATAATTGTTCTTTTGATTACTTCTACTTTTATACTACTGAGATGCTATATTAAGCTAAGAATAATTGCTTGAAAGGTTTTCTATTAGGTAACGAGGCACTAGGGAAGTGACTTTCCCCTAGGTGAATACTTGACGGGATCTAGTATCTAAGGCAAAGATGTTATGTTTGGGATCGCGATATAGCCAATGCACGACACTACTCACTCTATACCTCTTGGTAGCTTGAGTGACTTTTCCAAAATTGACTTTCTCAAGACCAATTGGGTGTCGAAATTATGCAAGCAATGTAGGCTCAAGTCGGGTATTACTATCTCTAAATTTAACCCTTTAATTGGGGCTATCAATCTCTTGAGTACGCCCCAATTCCTTGTTGGACTGATTTCCTAGATAAAATCTCTCTTTCTCAAGAAGAGCCCAAGTCAAATAGGCACAAATTAGTATTTGCAACCACTAATCCAACATAAACAACACAAATCAGTCAGAATATCAACCACCCATGAACATCTAAGCATTAAAACACAAGACCCATCAAATACCCATACTAGGGTTGAGCCACAACCCTATTTAATGGGTCTAGCTACTCATAATAATGGAAGAAAACATAAAATTAGATGAAGAACAACCCATATGATTTGATTACAAACTAAGTTAATGAAGATTCAGTGTTAAAGTAGCTCCAAATTACTCAAAATGGAAAAAAACAGCCGTTCACGTGCTCAACTAAAAGTTAGATTACAAAAGATACCCTAAAAATGTGAAAAGAAAGTATTTATACTAGGCCGAATTTTCTGGACAAAAATATCCCTGCGGAGGTACCGCGGTCCGCAAAAAATGCACCGCGGTCGCGATGATGGTTTTGGTATAACTTTTTGTGTCTCTGATTCTGTCCATCGCGGACCGCACAAAATGTATCGCAGCCACGGTGGCTTCACTGCGGTCCGCATGAAATGGTTTGCGGCCGCAGTGGCTTCCAACATTTCAAGTCCCATCTCTCTGAATCTCTGCTCTGCAGACTGCATAAAATCGATTGCGGCCACGGTGAGGCTACTGCGGTCCGCATAAAATGGTTTGCGGCCATAGTGCTTGAGCTTCCAAAATTGTACTTCTCTTAATCTCCTCACCGCGGACCGCACTAAATGGATTGCGGCCGCGGTGGGTCTGTTGCAGCTGTGCTTTGACTTGTTCTTGGTACTTGTGCATGTTTCACTCCTTTTTGAGCTAATTTTTGACTCTTGTCCCTTTCTTGACCAGACCCTGTAAACAAGTACAACATGTAAGCCTTTTGGGACTATTTGTATTCATTTTTAATCAAAACTCAAGTTAAAAGGAGTATAAAATGAACTAGAATCCCTAGTTATCAACTCCCCCAAACTTAAGCTTTTGCTTGTCCTCAAGCAAACAAAATAAGTCCCACCTCCTTAAGAATACAACCAAGAAAAATTTAGCTGACCTAGAGTGACCTCATCTAGCATTAATTGGGAATAACAATTGCCCTCAAATTAAATGAATCATTGACAACATTCAACCTTTTAAACACCACGGTTTTAGTGCGACACAAGAGCATCAAAGATTGACTCGACTCATCAAAGAAGCTCTTTCTACTACTTTGGTCATTGTGGAACCCAAACTCCTACTCCTCAACTCTCCACAAGCAAACCTCACTTTTAGGTTGTAGCACTCGGAACGAGGATTGCAGAAAACACACTCATCTCTCTCAAAGAAAGGTCACAAGTCCGGCCCTAAGTCCCGTAAGCTTGCCCCTTATGTGAGTCACCACTAATGTAAGCTTCATTCAACTCAAGATCATATAGGGCTTTTGTGGAGATATAGTGAAGGCTTTTGGTTCAGGGTAGGAAATATTTGGTCTAAGTAGGTTCCATCTTCCCTTAAGCACTTCATTTGCTTTATTTTGGCACACATTCTCTTGACTTTTTACGTTATTTACTTGTTACGACCCCAACCCCGGTCGTGATGGCGCCCAACACACTGCTAGGCAAGCCCGACCATTTAGACAACCTTAACCAATTAATCACAGTGCATGGATAAATTAACATAGCTAAAGTACTAAGTCAAATGCTGAAATCCTGAAATAGAGTTAAACATACGGAAACCCCAAAATATAAAATAACTACACAGCCCGCAGAATCCGGTGTCACAAGTCTGAGCCTCTAATACATGAGTATCAATCTACTACATATCGTTCTCTAGAAATACGGAAACAAAATAAATAAGATAGAAGGAAGATCAGGACTCCGAACGTCAAATGCAGCTACCTTGAAACTCCCAAATGTGATGCTAGGCAGAGAAGTCCTCACTCAGCCTCAGTAGTACCTGGATCTGCACGCAAGGTGCAGGGAGTAATGTGAGTACTCCGACCCAGTGAGTAATAAACATAAATAAAGACTGAGAACAAGAAATCCTGAATAGGCACAAAGTAATTCTATAAATACAGCAACTTGATCCCAGTAGCATAAAATCAGTAAAACAGTGAAAACAATTATAGAGATATCACAGCAGATAAAGGAATAAATGACAATTAAAAATATGCAATGCAACACATAGACCGGTACTCTCCAGTACCCGCTGCGGCGTGCAACCCGCTCCATTTATTTATCGTCGACGGCGCTCACTGGGGGTGTGCAGACTCCGGGAAGGGCCCCTTACGGCCCAAGCGCAATAATAAGCCATATCGTGGCATCAACTAGGCCCTCGGCCTCATATCAATATCAATATCATACCACTGCGGCGCGCAGCCCGATCCCATACTCAGTCCAAAGCCACATAAGCCTCTCAGGCACATTAATATAGAAATATTTAGCCCAAACTTCATTTAAAAATATTAATTAAGTTTCTAGTTTGAGAAAAGTGGCTGAGTTTGCAAAACAGCATTAAATTCTAGGACTGAATTCAATGATATGTAGAAATGGTAAGAAACCAGTAATAATAATCCCTGAAGGATTTAATCGATTGACACGAAGTCCAAATATAGCAAGCAGCTCAATTAAAATAATAATAAGTAAATTTTAGTCAAATACACAGTATATTCATCTACACGGACGGACCAAGTCACAATCCCCAATGGTGCTCTACCCCACGCTCGCTACCCGGCGTGCAAGTCACCTCAATATAGCACTACGATGTGCAAACACGGGGTTTCAAATCCTCAGAACAACATTTATATCTATTACTCACCTCAAGCCGGCCAAAATCCTAGCTCGCTATGCCCTTGCCTTTCGAATTGACCTCCTCGTGCACCGCATCTGATCAAAACTGCAATGAATACGTCACAATATGCCAATGGGACAATACCCAATTGAAAATAATCGAAAAATAGCGAAAATCTCGAAATTAGCAAAACCCGAGCCCCGGGCCCACTTCTCAAAAATCAGAAAATTTAACATCAACGGACTCCTTATCTCGCCACGAGTCTATACATATAAAGTTTACCAAAATCGGAGTCCGAATGACCCCTCAAATCCCCATTTTAACTCTCTTAAGTTTCAAGCCCTAATCACCATTTTTGCCTATTAATCCCTTGAGTTTTCATCTCTAATCTATGTATTTACACCATAAAATCATGTTTTAGACTCAGAAATCCTTACCTCAAAGAAGCCCTTTGATTTCTCTCTTCCAACTCGCCCAAATTCTCCAAGTCCAAGGTGAAAATTATGAAACCCTTTGAAATTTCGCGAATGAGAAATTAAATATCACTGACCAGTTATTTCCGCATCTGCGGTTCCTTAGCCGCATCTGCGACTTCCGCTTTTGCGAATATAAGTCGCTTCTGCGGAATAAACTGCTTCTGCGGTGACAAGACTGCTTCTGCGGCTCCCGCATCTGCGATTCCATTTCCGCATTTGCGGTTTCCCCTTAGATTTCCAAAATCCGCATCTGCGGTCACTTTGTCGCATCTGCGACTCCGCAATGCGGTCGCCCAACTCGCACCTGCGTTCCCTGCCGCTTCTGCGGCTCGCTCTTCGCTTCTGCGCTACTGTTTCTGCAGTCCCATTTCCGCAGAAGCAAAAATACCAGAAGCAGCAGTGATTCTTGATCCTTACAA